CCTCATACCCACTTACCCCCGGCTGACCAAGGTCGCCTTCATCTTCGTTTTCGTGATGTGTGTCGCCTTTAAGAGCAGCCCCGGAGCTCTCACGGCTCAATTTGCTGGCTGAGCTCCGTCGAGAGGCCGCGGCATTTATAGCAGCATATTCAGCTTCTAATCGGATAATGCAATCAGCACAAAAACAAGCTGCAGGAAAAGAGCATTCTGGCAGAATGAAACATTCCAATGTACCATTGCTGGTCCGACGGTCATCACTCTGAAGGGTAGATGAGCCTGTGGAAGTGTATTGTCCTGCACCGTCATCATCGTCATCATCATAATCTATCAGATCATCGTCACGAAGTTCGTCTTCGGCCGGGTGGCTCGCAGTCTCTTGGGCATCCGCCTCGTGTTCCGTATCTGCGTGCGAGTGGCCTCCCCCTAGGAGACTCTCATTGTCTATTTTCGCAGAAGAAATCAGAATTTCATTGTCTTCATCATTGTTAGCTCCAGTAGAATCCTCAGCACTGCTCAAAGCTCCTTGTGTGCCGGGGTAAATAGCGCTACTTAGTTCCCGAGGACCTTCTGGATCGGTATCCGTAGCTGTTGGAAGGGGGGCGAGAGAGTCTCTAGCACGTACAGGGCCTGTCACATCGGGATCATTCGGGTTCTTAGCAGGTGATTGGAGGTCCTGAGGAAACGGGTAGTCTGTTCCCCATCCAGGGTGGTGATCGGTATCTTCACTGTAAAAGGCATTCCCAGCAGGAAAGCCGCTATAGTCTTGCCCTTCGCCGTGCCAGAAGGGAACTTGGGAGATACCTTTACCTTCAGCGGCGGCGGAGGATATATCATTCAATCTTTTTGAAAACCTAACCTTAGTTGTAAGCGTCATGTACAGGGGGTCCGGTTCATCCACGCCATCCTGAAGGGATAATCGAACGTAAAGGCCAACTATCTGGGAAAGTGTAGTGGTTCGAGTGTGGATTGAATCCTTGAAATATGGTTAGTAAGGCTATAAAATGCATAAGTGTATCTAGAGTCCTTACCTCACTAAGCTCAAGACCCAAGCCTCCGACCGCCACGTTCAACTCGTCGCCTTCGCTAATGCTCCCTGCAAGCACAGAGCGTATTGCATCGAACAGATCACATATATTTGCACGCGCAAGAGACTCGTCAGGCAGGAAGAAGGTGTCGGAGGTATCATCCTTGAAAGGGGGAAACAAAGATATCTCGCTGCCTTCATAAATCACCACGACTGGATGTATATGAGCAGCGCCTGATTGCGAATCTTTCGGTTCATTAGGAACCTCTTCTTCATAAGTGTCAGTGAGAGCATCATCTCCCACATTGCTGTTAGAACTGGTGGCTGGAACATCCAGAGCGGGGCGTTCATCCAGAGGAACCACCTGCTCCAGGGTCTGATTTCCGTTGTCTAGTTCAAGAGGGCCATGCGGTTCCAATGCCGACCGCTGCTCGGCCACAGGGGGAGCCTTGATGTTTTGAGGGCTAGTTGCAGGTTCTTCATTTTCTATTGTTAGATTTTTGGAGTTCTCAGAGGTGTATGTGTTATCTTCAGCAAAATTTATTTCCTGCTGCTCGCCACTCGTTGCAATAAGATCTCCTGAAGTGGTCAATCGGGAAGAACGTGAACCACCATCTTCTCCAAATGCCGCAGCATTAGGGGAATATTCACCACTCTGGTGTTGTTGTTGATTTGAGGGATCATCGGTGAGGATGGGATCATGTGCGTCGAAGAGCTCTTCGTCAGGAATTTCGACTTCTTGCTCTTGAACATCCGTAAATGAAAGGTCTTCGTCGCGCATAACATCATCGTTTCCAAGTTCGACAGATGGGTCCATATGCTCCGCAGCGGTCTCTGACCCAGCGTCTTCTATAATATAGTCGCCACCTTGGTCGTTAGGGGGAGGGGCATCCAAGTCAAGGTCGATATCAATATCATCGCCCATACCTGGACCTGGTGATAGCTCCATTTGGTCTTCTAACAGTATGTTCTGCGGGTACGAGGACGGCAGGGCCTCTAGAGTGGTCATCGGGACTCGGGATGTGCGCCTCCTCGTCAGTCTAGGTGGGGTCGTTCCAGGGTCTAGGGTGAGGCCAAATATTGCGGCTCAAAGCCTACCGTGATTCTGTCGGGTTAGATAGGCGTGGCCTGGTGGGTCTTACATGCGTCGCGTCGATATGAGCGTGGGTAATCTGGGATGGTAAATCAGGCGAAGGGTAAACTGTGGTTAGTAACGTGAAGGAGTAGTAGAAAGGGAACAGTCGGGATGCAACAGATTAAGGCGGAGAGATGTCTAGTATGAGAAAGATGAAGACAAGGTGAGGGTAAGAGTAATAAGCTAAAGGGGAGACAAAGAGAAGGATGGCAGGGTGAGTAGAACAAGGAATAAGGTGGCCTTGATATCAACGTCGTTACTATTAACCGCGAGTCGAAGTTCCGAGACTTGCTCGAGCTGGATCGGTGATCTATTGCTTGTGAGATTATATGTTAAGAGGGACGCGGCAGTGCGTACCAAACGAAAGGAGTGGAAGAAATAGGCGAAAGCGGAACTCCACTAATCTCGTGATTCCGGGTTGATCCCCTTTTGCATCGAGACTTGAGAGAATTTCTGTTATTGATGAATACTCAAGAGGGCTCTATTGACTGAGATGGGGGGGCACTGATTTGAACATATTTTGTTGTTGACTTGTCTAGAATCCCGTGCGCAGCCTTCATAAAGCCACAGACACCAATTAACTAGACGAAGTAGACAAATGTATTCGATGCCCTGAACCATCTTCCAACTAAGCTGTAATTTGGACATAACCTAGATGCTATAGATCATGGTAGGGAAATTGTGTCTTGTACTGCTAGAACTCAGCTCGTTACTGATTATTCAATTTTGCAGGTTGTTCTGGCAGCTTCGATATGTACCCGCGGGGGTAAAGCGGTCTTGTCTCGACAATTTCGGGAAATCAATAGATCTAGGATTGAGGCCCTACTAGCTTCCTTTCCCAAACTGGCTGCTGCGGGCAGTCAACACACGACTGTCGAGCAGGACAATGTCCGATACGTCTACCAGCCCCTAGACGAACTTTATATGGTTCTTATTACCAATCGCCAGTCCAACATTCTTCAAGATATCGACTCGCTCCACCTATTTGCGCAGGTTGTCACGAGCATATGCAAGAGCCTAGATGAGCGTGAGATCCTACGGAATGCGTTTGAGCTTCTAAGCGCATTCGACGAGCTGGTGAACCTAGGTTACCGGGAAAACCTCACTTTAAGCCAGATCAAGGCCTTCCTAGAAATGGAAAGCCATGAAGAGAGAATACAAGAGATCATTGCTAGGGTCTGCGACTCCCATTCTCTCAACCTACTACCAAAGGTTATTTGCTGATGACAATTGTAGAATAAAGAACTGGAGGCCAGCGAGGAGAGGAAGCGGCGAGCAAAGCAGCTGGAGCTGCAGCGGAAGGAGATGTCTCGCAGTGGACGCTCCTCCACACCTCGCACCCCCTCATACCCAACATACACACCACCAGCTCGGTCGAATGTGCCAGATACGTACGATGCATATGAGGCAGAGAAGAACAAAAGCTTCAAGTGAGCATACACAGGACATGCTTGGATACAGGGTGGAGCTAATATGTACCACAGGTCTGCTGCTCCTAAGGGTAAAGGCATGCAACTCGGCAAAAAGTCTAAGACCACCGACATGTTCGAGCGCGTCCGAGGGGATCTGGGTCCTGAACCCGAGGAATCTGCACCTCTTGTTCCCAGTGCGCCTTCCGCAGCAGAAAAACCATCCCAAGCTCGAGCCTCCACTTCACTAGATCGAGAGGCCATCCATGTAACCGTAGCAGAAACGATATCTGCGAAGCTCTCGCGAGAAGGATCTTTGAAAACTTTCGAAGTCAAAGGCGATCTTCAGCTTCGCATCACGGACCACTCACTAACAAAAGTTAAGCTTGAGCTGGTGGCCGACACATCTACGGGCGCCCAATTCCGTACTCACCCTAATGTTGACAAGTCCTTGTTTAACAGCTCCAAAGCTATCCAGCTAAAGGACCCCACCAAGGGGTTCCCACCTAATAATTCCGTTGGAGTTCTTCGATGGAAAGTAAATGCCAAGGCCGATGACTCTGGAATCCTGCCAATCACTTTCACCGTCTGGGTCAACAAAGCCTCCGGAGATTCCTATACCATCACTGTTGAGTATGAGTTGACCGGAGGCGATTCGCTTAAGGATGTTGCTGTGACCATTCCATTCTCCACGGCCGAGCCATCGATATCGAGCTTCGATGCGGTATACGAGGTAGTGGGAGACAGTATGGAATGGTCTATCGGCATCGTCGATGAGGATAATTCAAGTGGAGCATTTGAGTTTGAGGCACAAGCAGAAGATGAGAGCGAGTTCTTCCCCATGAGCGTCCGATTCTCGAAAGCCAAGCCCTTTGTGGACGTTGATGTGAGTCTCAACCTCCCACCTATATCCCTGTTACAAGACCCTGAACCTAGAATGAACCAAGTTACTGATACGTATATTTATCGCCAGGTTTCGACTGTCACTTTGTTGGACATGCATGAAGAAGTGTCATTCTCCAAAGAAATCAAGTCAATCGCGGAATCATATATCATCGAGTAGGGAGGCGAGAGCGGGACTAGTGAGCGCTTTGCTTATGTTATTTTATTTTTACGCCTTAGAAAAGATTCCGCTAGTCACAAATCACCTCAAGTGTATACGCATATACGAAGAAGCGCGGAAGCAGTGTAGAGAAAACAGGAGTGAATAAATTGAGCCCCAAACGTAGCTTTTCCAACGGTCCAAAAATTCTCTAGCGAAACGGGGTGGGAATATCAAAATGGCTACTTAGGGTAGATAGATTCCCATCGACAAATCACTCATAGGAAACAAAAAGTTCACTTTATGGTATCAAAACTAACACAACATTACAACCCCCACGGCTTAAGTTGTGATTGATAAAAGAAAATAAGCGATGTTCTAAATGTCTCTGCCGGCTTGGCGCAGTGGTAACGCGTCGCACTTGTAATGCGAAGACCCCTGGTTCGATCCCAGGAGTCGGCACACTCTGATTTTCATTTTTTTAGTCTTCCTATCGGTTCAGTCGCGTGAAAGAAACGCCTATTCTACTTTTTAACCATGATAATTAGGGATTGCTGTGGTCGATTCAGGTGATAGATAGGTGAGGTGGGGGATGTGGATGTCACGGACAGATGTTACCCATTACGAAATATTCGAAATTAGCCGGACGTAAGCAAGGCTGAAGGTATGTATATGTATTTCCACGCCACCAGGGAGTGCTTCAGGAAAGATCCTAATTTACCCAATTTTCGTTTTCGCTGCCGATCCAAACCTGAAAAAGTAGTGTCCGAAGAACGAACGGTTCGATACACGTACTTGTACACAAATACGACGCCAAAACTAGGACAATGACCGAGGTTTCGCTGGGCCAGCCCTCTTGGTAATGCATCTCGGGAAGGTCCCCCCCAAAAAAGAAAAAACGCCGATTTAATACATGGGTATACCCTATATCCTGAATTTTCAGAGGTCGAAAAGGCCATCACAAAAGAAAAGAGTCTATGCACGAGCTTTATTGTTCGAAAAGAGCGACAGTCGAGCAGAAGCCATCACGGTTGTCAATCTGCTGCACTACAGGATTGCCGTTGACCGTGACCATGCTGGTTGACGCCTTCGTGCTAAGGCCGTAAAGATGAAGAGAAGATGAGCTGCCCTCGATCGACAGCATATTATCTTGGCAGGATTCGGTATTCAAACAATCCTGTCCGTAGTTCTCAAAGAAACTATAGAGGCCAGCACCGTACACGAAGACACTCTTTGAGTCGACAATACGGAGGCCCCAGGACTTGGGGCAAGAAACTTGGTTTTGACAGGATGCGAAAGTTGGGTCGTGCCAAACCGGGTTTGGCGTGAACGGTGTCAATGCGTTTGGGTTGCTCTGGTAATATCTGCGGGAGAATTAGCTAAGAGTAGCCGAGTCAAGAATGAGAGTGGGGTGAGCCTACGGGGTTTCGGTTTGGATTAGACCCATGAAGACGTTCTCCGAGTTGACAATCTGATAGTTATATAACTGACTATGCTCAGATGAGGTACCGTACCTGTGGCGATGCGTTAGTTAGGTAGTAGTAACGTGAGACCTTTAGAGGTATGTACTTACATCCAAACAGGCCCTTGAGCAGACTCGATTAAGACACCTCTCCCGTTAAAAATATTGATCTGCGAATGATCTGCGAGATCCAACTCATGGTCTGCAACCCAAAACCAATTATTTTCAAGATAGATGCTAGCCTGCTGAGTAACATGGAGGAGAAGGAAAGCAGCTCTGCATCCCGGAGCCGCTGGCGCTATGACGCTGGGATTCTTTGCACACTCGGCTGATTGCAGCTTAGTTCCAGCGGAACCGCCAATGCGGAAGTGAACATCCCACATCCCTGAAGCACCCTGTTGGCCCTGAGGGTCGCGAACATTCCACTCAACCAAGACTGCGCCAGGTTGGGGTCCTACGGTCTGAAAAATTAGGTCCGAAATCTCGACAGCACCTTCATCCCCTGAAACGCCGATTTGAAAGACAGGAGTAGGATTGTTTTCGTCTTGGAATGCAGGGCCCGATGCAAGAATTAGGGGCCAGATTTCACCAGTGATGCGAATATTCTTGGGGATCTTGACAGTCTGAGAGACAACATATGCGCCGCTGTCAAAGTAGACAATCTCGTCTACTTGAGCCGTGTTGATCGCCGTCTGAATAGCCGCAGTGTCGTCTGTCACGCCATCGCCTCTAGCGCCGTGTGACTTGACACTGATAAAGCGGGAATCAGCGACGTCTTGATACTGAGGCCTGGAGCGTTCATAGATGAGTCCCCCTGCGTTCAAGAGGGAGGCCGGTTTCGATGGCGGAGTGAGAGGCCCCTGAAACCTGGAACCACCTGCACCAGATATGTACTGCCTGCCTTGTCCCCAGGAAGCGATCCTAGTGTTTCCTGCAAGTATGCTTCTTCCACTAGGATCGGCAACCGCCGTTACTGAACCGGTAAAGTCAACATTATCAATGATTAGAGTTCCTCCGGTGTTCGGTTGGCTACCACCGTTGAAGGCAGTACTAATTCCAATTGGGGTGCCGGAGATCTTGCTGTCAAGAACGAGGACCGAACCAACAGCCTGCTGGTTAGAACCGCCATTGGCCATGTCAATGCCAACGCCGCAATTATTAATAGACAGTGATTTGAAAGTCCACGCCCAGTTCCAATTCATGAAAATAGCCGTTTGAACATTATTGAAGACAAGATTACGGGTAGTGAACTGCTGATTACCGAAAAAGGCGCCATAGCGGCCACCGTTAAATGTGAGATCGGTCAGAAAACCTCCAGATCCTAAGTGCAATATCAGAACAAATTACTGAGCTAAGCTGAGGAGCTAACATACCATTATCCATAAAAATCCCCTGTTGTTTGCTCTCCGTACCTTTAACCATTTCAAATCGTATGTTCTGCAAGCTGGTCGCTTGAGCAACCTGCCAGTGGATACCAGTTCCTACAGTTGCAGGCATTGCAGTAAGGTCAATAACAAAGTTGCGAACCTGCCGGAAGAAATTGTTCTGGTTGGTATACCAGTTGTGGCCGGTCTCATCATAGGGGTCAGCGTCAATGACTGCGATTCCCTGGAAAGACGCAGCAGCCTTGATGGTAGGAATACTGATGGCATCACCAACAAACTGTGTGTAATAATACTGGATAATGGGAGCGCTGACGAGGTAGGTGCCCGCTGGGAAATAGACCAGTGCTGGAGAGACTGTGGAGGAGTCACACCCACGGCCGCAACGGCCTCCCTGAGAGATGGCGGTATTAATTGCCACCGTATCGTCGGTAACGCCGTCACCTAATTTTGCCAATGAAAGGAGTTAGCCTGAGGACCGTAATATGAGCACTTAGGGTATAGCGGTAATCTCCGGGTAATCGATCATGTACCTTTTGCACCAAACTCCTTGACGTTGCGGAATACCCGATAGCTGCTTGGGTTAGGATTGAAAGCAGCAGTGCCTTGGCGCTTAATGCTGCTCATCCAAAAGTTCGATCCCTGGGTGTTGGATGTATAGGTAGGGACAGCTCCCGCAGGCAAAGTCCCATATGTGATAAGCAGGACTCGTAGGGCGACAAAAAGTACGATGATTGAAGATGTTGCCATGATGAGGTAGTACTTTGGAGGAATTATAGGAAGTGATAGCAGAGGCTAGTTCAAGGGGGGAGATCCAATCAGTAACTCATACAAGGAAATTTGTTGAGATGGTATTAAATTGCCTTAGAGCAGTAGTTCTAGATTGCTGGAGAAAGAGTGGGCAAGATACTCTTTAAAAGCAAAAGAGCGGGGAGGCTGCGAAATCGAGGCAGAAAAGAGTGGAGGCGCAAAGAATAGATATAACCGCAAGGAATGCAAGCGGAGCGACAGTAAGGAGTATCAGTCGTGGCGGGTTGAAATGAAAAACCTATCGACTCTAATTGAGCCCAACGTACTAGGAATGCCTGCGCGCTGCTCGGCCCGGTATTCTTGAATCCTCCCCGCGTCTTGAATATACAATTCGATGCTTCTCGAGCCTGCCCTTGCAGGCCTATAGATACGTTCTCCTCCATCACCACTACCATGTTATTTGCGGGAATATCTGGAATACTCCCCTGTCGCTCAGGGTCATCCGGGATAGCTTCATGATGATGCAAATGAGAGGGCGCGCGGCAGAAGCTTGTAGCAAGGCTAGCCATTCTTTTAGGAGCACACGAATCGTCCTTCAGGAATGTACTAACAAGTTAGTAAGCCAACATTCTCGACGGTCCATTAGAACAGAGCATCTAGCCTGAAACCGCCATATGATAAAGGTCGGCGGTTCATTTTCGGGAGCTGGGCTTCGGAGATTCACCATGGATCACAGCAATTAAAGGATGTACCCTATGGATCATCCAGACAAGAGATCCAGTGAGCCCACGGGAGATCACTAGACGGAGACAGTAACCACTTGTTCGGGTTGCTGGAAGGGTGGTGAAACAAGACGGAGGTGGTGTGCCCCGCGTTGCATCGGTCGTGAAGCAGATATGAATAATTGCTGTATAGATGGTTGGTTCGCAGGGCTAAAGAGAGACGCGCCCAGAGATTAGCGACGTCTTGCTTAGCCAAGGACTGCAGGAACACCTCCGCACACCCGCAACGATAAACCCTGGGTAACTTGCGGAGCAGGGTACAGAATACTACGTTGGCCGCCGGTAAAGGTTCTTTGTAATTACCTAAAGTAGCCTCTGCTCGCCCTGGCCGGCTCCCGGTCTATCGCATCACAGGGGTCTATTACCGGTATACCGGAGTAACCAAAATACATTGTTAATTGTGCAATTATATGGCAATAATAGGCAACTACGATGGCCTAATATGCTCACAAGACGGGTAACAGGTCATTGAGAATAATTCAAACGCTGCCATTCAAAAAAGACGTCTTAGCTCAGGAAGCCAAATCCATGCTCACTCCTCTTTTTCTTTTTCTTCTTCTCTGGTGCCCCAACGCCGGCTCCAAGTATGTCATCGAACTTCTTGGTCGGGTCCAGGGTTGGACTTGACCTAGGAGTGGCCGAATCTGGAGTGAGACCGGCTGGGACGGGTAAAGCTTCTAAACCTAGTGAAACTATAGAACGCCTATCTGGAGACCCAGATCTGCTTCTCGGTGCATCGTTCCAACCTGGTAAGCCTGGTGGCGGTGGCAACGGATCGTCAAGATTTTCGGCGATAGCCCTAGCAATGACGCTGCCTTGTCCAACCCATGCCTCCGCAACGGTCCAGCAGTGACTTCGTCTGAAGACCCCCTCGACGCCGTGGTCAACAACATCCGAGGGCAAAATTACAACGCCCGTGCCGCCGGCGATACCGTACCAGCTCTTTCTCTGAGATCCATCATCTCTGCTCCATGGCGCACCCCCTCTTGGTGGCACACACAGGAAATATTCCACTCCTTCGTGCCACCCGATGTCGGGCGCATCCATGACAACCATTGGCAGGGACTGGAGGATGGCATAGATGAA